CAGTGTCACTGGCCCTCATATGTGGGATCCGAACCGGGGCCCTCTGGCATCCCAAGCGAGTTCTTAACCATCGCGCCACTCGGCCGGCCCTGCTTAAAATCTTTTTAATCATTCAGCATTGCACTTAGGATAAAATGCAAACTGTAAGGCCTGGCGCCATCTAGACTCTGCATGTGAGATGGCAATCTGGAAACCCGCCAGCCACTTTACAACCTCATCTCAGGCCTCCAGGGCCAGGACTAGGGTGAAGCAAGTGAGGCACTCACTTAGGGCGCAAAATTTAAGAAAATTTAACTGAGATAAATAACATTGTAATGCAATATTGTTTTGAAAAAGCAAAATTAATGCTTAAAAAAAACCCCACAATGAACAGAATATCAACATTTTACTCTATTTATTTATTTATTTATTTGTTTATTATTTAAAGATTTTATTGGGGAATTGGGAGAGGGGAACAGTGTTGGGGAATTGGGGAAGGGGACCATCCAAGTTGTTGCTCTTCAATCTTAGTTGTGGAGGGTGCCAGTCGCCATCTGGCTTCCCGTCAGCAGCTCGTGGCCTCTAAACTCAAGGTGCTGTGTTCAATCTTAGTTGCAGGTAGGCGTAGCCACCATCCCATGTGGGACTCGAACCAGCAGGCTTGTTGTTAAGAGCGCACACTCTATCCACTGAGCCATCCGGGCAGCAGCTCAGCTCAAAGTGCCGAGTTCAGTCTTAGTTGCGGGTGGGAGTAGCCACCATCCCATGCGAGAGTTGAACCCTGCAGCCTTGTTATTAAGAGCGCACGCTCTATCCACTGAGCCATCTGGGTGGCAGCTCAGCTCACAGTGCTGAGATCAGTCTTAGTTACGTGTTCTTCGTTTCAGTCTTAGTCAAGCGTGTTCTTTTTTTAATGGTTGATTTTTTCCCCCCCAGATAATTAAAGTAGTAGAACAATACTTAAAAATTGGAAAGTTGGGGGCCGGCCGAGTGGCGTGATGGTTAAGAACTGGCTTGGGACACCAGAGGGCCTCAGTTCGGATCCCACATATGAGGGCCAGTGACACTGCCCTCTACAGCTAAGATGCTGAACAACAGCTCAACCTGGAGCTGGGCT